ATGTATCTTTTAACCTGTAAAGTCTCATTCTTTTGGCAAGGTTAGCTATATGTAATTATTATATAAAGGGAATTAAAGAGGTGAAAGAAAGGAGTTAATTTGGATAGGAATAACAATGAGAGGTTTCAATGACTAAATTGAAACCTGGTACAGGTATATAATAAATGTAATTATGATATACCAATGAGAGGTTTCAATGAACTACATGCTCATTAAGTTAGAACATTTTTTCAAATTCTGAAAAAATAAAATAAAAATTCTTTCATTGGAAAGGCTTGATGCTTATACCTTGTAGGAAGTTTATGATATAGGACCATCATTTTCAGAGTTCGATTGTTCATGTTCAACTTTCTCTAATCCTTTGTTTATACCTTGCATCTCCTCTGCCACAAACTTCAACTGGACCTGGATCGTAATCATAGATGTCAGTTCTAACAAATATACTATTTCCATCACCATAATGAAGTGAAGAGCCTTGGAGGAGTACAGAACCTTTGCAGCTAGCTCGAGGTTAGCAAGATCCTTGGAGAAGTCTAAAACTTCTGGTAGTTTATCTGCCAGAACCTATGGGTAAGCATGATATCAAAGACTACAATTTATTAAAGCTGCAAACTTCTCCAAATATAAATACAATGATAGTTATCCAATTGATTATCCAAACTTAACATCCAAATGGATATTATTATAGCACAGAAGATGACAATTTTTTTAGGGAGTTGTTGAAACTTATTCTATAGTTTTGTTTTATTTTTAGGAAAATAGTAGTTAAAATAACAGAGGAAAAATGGTAGTAGCATATTTTACTTCAGTATGAACTTTAAGCCCAAATCGTTCTAGCTGATGGAGAGTGAACTAATAACAACATATGTTAATAAAAATTGCTCGTTCAGAAGTGAGTGATGCTAGGACATGTCTATGTAAATTCAATTTTTTTATTCTTTTGTACACCTATATTTGTCACATTACCCGATATATAAAGCAAATAGGAGAGTTGCATATAAGCAAGGCCAACCTCCTCCTTCTTTTTTGCCCCCTCTTTTTTTTTGAGTTTTTTCTCTTTGGCCTAAAAACAAAGTTAATAGAATAAAGTTAAGGCACAAAAAGGAACAAGCATGGAATGAGAGTTGGTCTATTATTTCTTCTCTGGAAATAATATAATTTGCTAGACGAACTCAAATACAAGCCCAACTCCGTTGACAGTGAATACTAAGATTGTTTGGTCTATTATTTCATTCAAATAACTCAAAAGAAGAAATTAATCTTTTGAATAACTCCATTAAATTATAGGAAGTCAAATGCAATTCACTCAAGTGTACCTAGATACCCAGGGGGAACTAAAAACTTCTATTATGTAAGGAATTAACGAGGCAACACATTGCACATTTAGTTCAAGCGCTGCCACATATGGAGGGGTATCTATTAGTCAGTAGTTGGAAATTTTGTTAACAAAAATTATAGAGCAACTTAAAAAATTTCTGCACCTTTAGAAAATTAAGATTTCTTCAAGGGCTTCCATTTGCTCATTGCACGAACTTATAACAGGAGGAAAGGGGGTTGCCAAAAAATATAACATGTAAAAAAGTAAGATATTGATAATAACTGAACACAACCAAGGTTCGCACCATAGTTCACTACTTATGTTGTTTTTCCATATACCTTCTCTGTTTCACTTGAGACCGTGTCACTCAACGACTAGTGATTTGCTTAAATATAAAATAAGCTAATAAATAGCCAGACAAATAAACTTCAAATTGGTGTCATTCCTCTTAATTATGCTTTCCTTCTTTTATCTTTAATATAAATTTTTCTTAACATAAAATATAATGGGGAAAAAATTAAAGGGACATAAATGTAACAAGCAATAAAATCGGCATAAGAATGTGTGACCTCATCTCCAGAGGAGGAGATTCCTTTATAATCAGATAGACCATCTTTCTTAATTCTATGGAGATGATTACTCATAGCAAAGAAAACTTTTGTGTCTTCAATCCAGCAAAAATAAAATTACCCCAAATTTTTTTAATAGAGACTCAAAACATAATTCCAAAAAGTTAATCGACAAATAAGCATGGTGATAGATATTTCTCTGAACCTTTGAAAATGTCTCTCCCTGATTCATTATGTTCAGGAGTTTTGTAATAACCTAGAAATAAACAACACAACATACACGAAATTGAAATTCAACTATAGAATAATTTATACTTAAATTTATAATAAAAACCTATGAAATACCGATTAGGTGTTATTCGTCAAGTACCGATCGATGATTTGCCTGAAATAAGAGAGAAATTGGGTGAGAAAATGTAGAGAGAGAAAGTAGAAAAAGAATAAGAGAGAATCAGAGAATAAGAAAAAGAAGATGAAGAGCAGAAAATGGGCGCGAGAGAGAAAAAGTTATCGTTGTAGCCTTCTCTTTTCACCCACACTTATATTGGGAATTGAGATTGGGCGCGTTTGGTTTTTCTTTATTCGATTTAAGGCCTTCTAATTTAGCAAAACATAACGATAAATTGTGGAGGTTTAAAACCTGCCAAAAACTAGATTATTTAGTGGAGGTTTTTTTAACCTCCATTAAAAAACCTTCAGTAATCATTCTTTTTTTTGTAGTGTCGTTCTTTAGGAACAGGGATTTTAGTTTCTTTATGAATTTTATTCTAATTTTCTTGAATTGCAAGAAATCAACTTTTAAAACTGGAAATTCTACTAACTAAATTGCAATCAGATTTAGTTCAGTAAAGTCATTGTAATATCAATTCAACGAATAACACGTAATAAGGTCCTGGAACTCTAAACTCATGAATTTTCCCTTAATAATTTGCATCTCTGCTTATGACATGCTACAACACTAATCTTGAAGAAAATGAACTAACGAAGCACTTTTCTTAATTTTCCCAATTAAGATTTTAAACCTAATCAAATCCTTTCCCAATATATTTAAAGTAGATCTTTAATTGACTGATGATCAATTTCCACTTCAGGTTATCCCTAACCTTTCAAGCTTTCAATTAACAAAATTTCACAACCATTAATTTCCCAATTATAGAATCATGAAAAAGATGGTTCAAGATCCATTCTCATGGCTTCTTGAAACTAAAAATTTTGTTAAACGAAATGCAGAATCATGCATAACAGTCTTCTAAAATAAAGGGTACTTTCCAATCATTTAACATCCTAGCTAGAAATTTTAGAAACTCATGATATCGGTAATTGAAAAATAAAATCTGAAACTGAATTTAACATGCATTAAAACCTACTTCGAAGGTAAAGAGTATTAGACTACAGAGTGGTTCTTTGAAATTTAATGTGCTAGAAAAGAAAGTGCTTAACAAGATAAAGTTGAAATCTTCAGATTCAAAATCGAAAATGCTGAAATATCTTGGTTTATCTTCCAAGAATGGCTTCTTCACTCGCTTGCTTACAAAGAAAACTTGCAACTAACAAACTAGGAAATTCGTAATAGAAAAAAACTTCTAAACACTATTGAAATGCTTCAAACTTAAGAAAATTTTCTAAAACTAAGAAGCTTAAGTTTCTAGCTAAGCACTCAAAAGTCAAAACTAAATCCAAGCCGTAGATCACTACTGCCTTTTCTTTTCTTTTTCTTCATCTAACGGTCCACATCCTTTTCATTTCAGTAGCTGTCACCGGCACCGCCCTTTTTAATATCTGCAAGCAAGTAGTAAAATATAAAGTAAATTACCATATTATCATTTTTTTTACCATTTCAGTAGCTGTCACCGGCACCGCCCTTTTCATTTTCTTAGACTTTGGGCCACTTTTTACCTGTAATCTGAATCATATTTAGCCCAATCTCAAGGCAAAATATAAGTGTTAGACAAACAACTTTTACCCCTAGCAACTATTTAGATTAACATTAACAATAAAGTAAAATGGTACGAGTTTTATACAATTTATTATCACATTAACAATAAAGTAAAATGATATGAGTTTTATACAATTTATTATCACAAACTACTCATTCGTATATATATATATATATATATGAGAAAAATATCTATCCTTTTTAAAGGATATAAGTTTATATCCTTTTAGATCCTAACCGTTGATTTTCGTCCATCAACGGTTATAATCTATTGAGCCAAACTTAATGGGCCAAATTTATTATTAATTAATTAATAATTTTAATCCAATAAATTATAACCGTTGATGGACGAAAATCAACAGCTAGGATCTAAAATGATATAAGTTTATATCCTTTAAAAGGATAGATATTATTCCATATATATATATATATATATATATATATATATATATATATATATATATATATATATATTTACACGCGCGCGTGTGCATGTTAAGCTGAACTCATTTGCTTACAAAAAAAAAATGAACTCATTTATATTATTAAAGAATATACACGATCAAAGATTTATATAATAATTTATAAAAAAGTTTAATTATAAATATTTTTCTAAACAAATACAAAAATATTATTTGTGCAAATTGCAAAATTATTTTCCAAAAGCAAAGCCCAGATCATTACATGAATGTCTTGTCTCAAAAAGAACATGCATGATATTATCCAGGAAAGAAAAAAAGATCTTTACAAATATATATTCTGTATACTTCCCTTGTTGAAAGCCGACACGAAAATAGTTGAAGGTAAGGGTGTCGTTGGAAAAATAAAATAATGAAAACAAATTTTTAAATATTTCATGAAGTTAGACGTAAGTCATGTTCATGGGATCCAAAACATTTAAAAAACATGTTTTTTTTCCCTGTTTTTTCTAATGAAAGAGAAAACTTTACTTTTTTTTTTTTTTTTTTTCTTTTGACAAGAAAAAAAATCGGATCTCAAACATCGTACTCAATCATATTTTTTTTAATTATTTTTCTCGAAGCCACAAAGAAACGAGAAGGTGCCATGTGGATAAAACAAAAAGAAAAAGAAGGAAACTTTACTTTGTTACCAGAAAAGGGTAACTACTTTATATTATTATAATATGCAGCAATATCACAGGCAGAAAAAGGAAGAGAAAGAACAATAAGGAGAAACAGACTAGCACATAATCACCAATCATCTTCACAGGCTCTGTTGTGATTCATAGGTCAGTTTCTTTGATCCATTCATTCTGTTGAAGCGTAAATAGATGTGGGTTGCTCTGTGTTTTCTAGGAATTTAATTTTTAAAGGGATATTATTTTTGGTTTTCCTCTGTTCTGGTTTTTAGTCTTTGATCTGATTTTTTTTTTTGGAGGTTTAGTGTGATGGGTTGGGGATAAAGTTTGGATTTTCAAGATGTTATATTGGTGGATTTTGAACATTTCCTCTGAGATGATTTTTTTTTTTGTGGGGTGGAAACAAGAAGATGGATGTGCCCACCACATTTTGAAAATTGTTGTAGGTTTTTAAATGTTTGAAAAGCTTGTATTCAAAATTTCTTTGTTTTTCTTTTGTCGATTACACCATTCCCATAAGGACATGTTTTTATTTAATTATTGATTTATTTTCTGTTGTTGAGGTTCCATTTTCTAAAGTAGAGGACAAATAGAAATGGATTCTGACCTTAATTTTGGGGATTCTTGTTAGTAATGCCTTATCTGTGGATTAGTTTTGACTAGTGATCCCATATATTTTTCTTTTGTCCTGGTGTCAAATTCCTATGCTTTTGGTTCCCAAAGGTTCTTCAGTTTTCTTAGTTATATATTCATTTTAATTTTATTATATCTCAATTATCAAGAGTAAAATGATTATTTTTTATTTTCTCATAAAGGTGATTGTCCATAGGAAGTTCTGGTGTATGACGTCCATTCAGGCGTTGTATATGGTGGCCAGGGCAGTTAATTTTTCAATCGTTCATTCATTTATTTAGTTTGGAGATTAAGTGCATTGCACCTTTACCCTTTTCCATTTAAAATCTAAGTTAGGAAAATTTTGACTTTTAAGTTTTTGCAACCAATGATAGACACAACATCTGTGTTAAATTAGGATAGCAATTGCAGTGGGGCTATAATTGAAGTGAATCTTATAGTGGTAAAGTTTTTGGATACATACCTAACATAGGAACTGTAGCAACTTAGGGCATGTTTGGTGCATAGTATTGGATAAAACCTGATAGTATAAGACCTGATTGTATAAGACTTGATTAAATTTTAATACTATCCAGTGTTAGATACATATGTTAGTTTGTTGCTACGAAATGGGAAAGCAAAAATGTAACTGTATGTTATCTAGGTCATTTATCTATGAACTTTTCTATTCTATGCATGGATAATTAACACATTTAAGGTCATTTTAGCATCAGACAACAATGACCATGATCCTGGTTGTAATATTCTGCTACTGAGTTAATGTGAAATTTCTGTTATACGTGTAGTGTTTTAGTACATATAAAATGGAGACTGATCCTACTTTATTGTTGTATTTATATGTGCGGGACAAATATAGAAACTAATAGAATGTCTCCATCAATGAAATCAAAATCCAAGTCCAAGGAGAAGGTCTCTGCAGGAGCTGGTAAGGAACAACAGAAAACTTCTCCAAAGACTTCTGGGTCTACTAATCATGGGAGTGGCATTCCTGCTAGTGCATACAATCCCATCTTGGGAACATTTCAAGCTCTAGAAACATCATTGGTTGCTTCTTATGCTCCAATTCATGACAACAGCCATTTCCCAAAAATAGATGATACAGATGAGAATTCTAGTAGTCCTCAAGGAACTGTGTCTGAGTATGATTCAGTTTCTAATAATAGCAGCTGCTCTGGTGAATCAGAAGACCCTAAAGAGAAATTAACAAACTCTTCTTTGCGGCTTGATGTTATTCCCGGTTGTGATAATGACAGAAGGGAGAAGATCCGGCTTAAGAATGAGAGGAAGCACCAGAGGCAGAGGGAAAAGAGAGCTCAGGAGTTGCATGACCGGTGCAATGGGTATCTAATGTTGAGAAAGCTAGAAGCACTTGCACAACAGCTAGTGGCAATGGGGTTCTCTTCTGAGAGAGCAACATTGGCTTTAATGGTAAATGATGGAAAACTGGAGGAATCAGTATCTTGGCTGTTTGAAGGAAGTGAAGAAGAACCATATACCAAGGATACTACTAAAATTGTAAGTGAGGGTAACTTGAAAATTGACCTAAGTGAAGAGCTTGCCCAGATATCTGCTATGGAGGTGAAGCACAATTGTTCAAAGCAAGAGGTTGAAAGAGTAGTTGTTGCATGTGAAGGTGATCTTCAAAAGGCAGAAAATACCTTAAAATCTCGGAAGCAGGAATCTCTTGTGACCCAGTTAAGGTCTGAAGATTCTGCTCAAAATAATAGTTTGATGAGATCTCAAGGATTACCAGCAGCTTCAGTTTCAATGCAGGAGAGAGTTAATGGAAATGACTTCAACAATTCCAAGGTAGGTGGTACTGATTCTATGTTCCCAAAACCTGGAAGCAGGAATCTACAGTCTCTAAACTCAAATCATCCAAATGAACTGACAGAGAAAAGATGGGGTGTTACAGGATCAAGCCCTTCTACTATGTTAACTATGGCACAGTCCATGCAATCATTGTCTCCATTTCTTAAAGTGGAGGCCCAACCTAGTGCCCTTAGGAATGAAGGAAGAATGATTCAACAAGTAGTAGGAAGGGAGCCAGTAATCATGATGCAGCATACACAATTCACAAATACCAAACAAAATTCTCTGAGTTCTATGAATTCCTTACCTTCAGGGACAACAGGTTGGTATGAAAATAGTATTCCTACTATTGAAAACATAAGGTCAAATGAGAAGTTACTACAGACTCACACCATAGGAAGTGTGAGTACAGATTACTTGGAGCAATTTTGTCAAGCTCCTTATAAAGAACATTCCTATGTCTTTGAACCTGTAGACTCCTCATCAACTGGGGTGGAAGGTTTCTATAAGCCAATGGGAGCATCTTCACCATCTCATACAATTCCTTCTCAGCATCATGGTTCATGGAGTATGAGTGCATCTTCTTCACCTGCACTCACAGTTCCACCATCTCTTGGACTATTTTCTGGACATCAGAATGCAGCAAGAACATTCAACGCGAATTCACATGTGGATTGGAATACTGGAGGCTTGATGCCAGAATTTGACTACACTAGTATAGATTGGAGTTTGGATTGCCCTTCATCTTCCAAATCAGGTGGATTGTGGGTAGGAGTAGGACTCTCATCAATGTTGAGAAACAGTTCTGGCAATAATAGGATGGCCAGTTCATGCATGACTGGATTGCAAAATGTTAGCATGGCTAAGGAAACTTCAACAACGTCTGGCTTGCGAGAGTGGACCACTCATTTTGCTGGGAAAGACATATTCAGTGTTTCCAGGCAATTTGTTACCTCTCCTCCTATGTAGTTTTTGTTTGTCTTGGAAACTAAAGAGGATGTGGCGTATTCTATGTAGTACTTGGAATGATTGTCTTGATGGTTGTTTTTGGTTTTCTAGTGAAATTCATCTTTTAATTTGTGGTCTATGATTTTTTATTTCCATGTAGTCATCCTCAAACTCCTCTTCCCTTCACTTGCATGTTTTTAATTTGAAGTAATTTTCTAAAGCTCATTGTTACAGGATCTTTATAAACCCCACGAGGTTGATTATACATGGCCTTATCCTACATTTTTACAAAAAGACTATTTCTCAAATTTTCCCATCATCTTCGTTTAATTTAAGAAGTTGGGTCTATAATTGAAGAAACTTAGGCTAACTTCTCCAATTTTATTTTGGTAAAAATGTAGTGTTAGTTACCTCATACACCCCAAAATGATATTAGTTTTCTAGTATGAACATATTTCACATGAATGATCAATTGAACTTTATTATATTGGATGGTAATGGTAGCGTATTTATTAATTTACTTTAACAATTAAGAACATATTTTAAATAAAATAATAATAAATATTGAAGACAAATAAACATTATGTTAAAATTTTTAAAGAAAATAATAGAATAATAAGACTCACAACAATATATTGTGTGAGCGTTAGTTAGAAAAATTTAATCAAGTAATACAGTAAAATTCATTTGGGAATGAAACAAATTCACTTTTATCTCCGGTAACTGAAAAAATCCTTTACCTTTTAATAATTCTCTTAATATAGACACAAAAATTTAAGCATCCCCATTCCCCTCCAAACTCCTTCATAGGGAAGTCCGACCTTAATGAATAAGAGTAAAATGATTGTAGTTCTCTTAATATGAACAACAATGAAAATTGTCTTCTAAGTTTTGACTTTTATCCTAATAATAACTTCAATTTCTTCCACCTTTCACAGAAACAAAAGCCCCAATATCCATAAGCATGTCAAATATAAATTATGAACAATTCAGTCCCCACCCCGTCTCCTTCTCCTTCGCAAAGCCCTTATAAAGATCAAATTAAGTTCCCTACATAACCTTGACGATGGGATAAAGGACAATTGGGTGGGGTAATAGGCAAGGTGGAAAGAGAACTTCACCAAGCTGCTCCAAACAGCAGTGAAAAGTGAAAAATAATGACTTTAGTTAAAAATAAAATTTAAGGAATTTACTTGGAATAGACTGGGACATAATTCCAACCCTGTCAAATGACTATTCCCTATCAATGTGTAGAAACTATACATTCACCTTAAAACACAAAGGGAAAATCTCAATGCACAAGACTCCCCGATTTGCGAGGATAGGAGCAAGAGTCAATAGTACACAGCCTTACCCTTGCATTTTGATAAAGAGGTTGTTTTCCATACTCGAACCCGCGACCTTCAGATCCCAAGTAGCTATCTTACCGCTGCTCTAAGGTTCACCCTCATTCACCTTAAAACATATTAATAAATGAGAACATCCATTCAGCAGAATCCCTATATTCTATGTGAAATTATATTCTCATGTTGTATGAGATTCATCTCTTATGTTACACTCACATAAAAAGATGTGGCTTTTATTTTTTTTTTGGTAAAAAAAAATTGGTGGGCCCAACTTTTCTCCTACTATATGAGAGAAGTAAAGCCCATATTCTATACACCAAAATGTTCAATACACTGTTCACCCTCCCCTCCACCACCAGAACTGTTTAAACATGTATATCTTTCTCATCCTAGAATTGTAAGTCAGGAAAGCTCTGGCTTTGACAGGATCAACATTTAAATATTCAAATGCATACATCTGTTTTCCCTCTTCCAACCCATCTATCTCCATCACAGCCTGAAATAGCTCTGCAGCATCAATTGTGCATTTGATGTGCTCCATTGAATCAGCCAATCGTTGTATGCTTGATGCCACCGTCATCAATGCATCCTGAAGAGCATCTGAACTGCAAGGACGTTTGGGAAGTTGTCTCAGAGGTTGAACCGCAGGAGGCTCCGGTATCTGACCATACTCTGGAGGCACACTGTAAGACTCAGTTCCATCTGTCTCACTTATGTTTTCTGAACTGGGATATGCAAATGAGGCTGATTCATCTTCACAGTTCTTCATGTCCACTTAATTTTTATCACCCTTCATCTTAGCCCAACGACCAGGAGCTTGATCATTCCCACAAACAACTTTAAGCTGATCATACATATCTATCTGCTTTCCGCGAAATCCTTTTGCATCAGGGTGTGTCTATTCAACGAATTAGAGAACACTAGAATAGGTATTTTGAATTAATGCATAACATTCATAAACTGGGAAAGATTAAAGATACACTCACCGAAACATATCTCTTCCAAAGCTCATCACGATCACACTCGATCATCTTTGTATTTGGATTCCACCAGAAACCATCTTGACTTAGCACATCTTTTATTACTTTATACCTCTTCTTAAGTGTCTTCAGACGGTTGATAATTTTCTGATTATTCAAATTTAAGTTGAAACGAGTGTTTACAGCTACACAGACAGCAGCATATGCATTTTCACTGAAACATTTGTCAATTCTGTTTCCATTTTTTGCTTGAACAACCAGAGCTTCAATTAGGCATTTATCCATTGCAATTGACCACACAACATTTCTTCCTTTATTTTTCATATCCTTTCGGTGTACTTGCGGATCACAGTGCTCCATTTCTACACGCTGACAAGAAAATTGAAACAAACAGTTCAATATAATAATGCACACATCATAACATTTAAGTTGATTTTATTATCCCCATTTAATTAAACATAGTATGAACTATGAACCACTAAGTTACTAAAAGTTTTACAGAAGCAATGGGGAAGAAATGGTATGAATTCTGAAGTAATAAGAATCCAATACTTGTGAGTGCCTACGTGTCAAAATTCACATGCAGTACACCCAGAAAAGGTTACATCATAAAGGAACAATACTTTTAGGTTCCATCAATGAAATCTTGAACTTAAAAGAAAAGGAAATTAAGGGCTCATACTAATAATCATCTCTATTAATATCATTAATATTACAGAAGCAACCTCAAAGAAAATATTTTCACCTAACAAAAAAATAGTATAATTGAAATCCCATGCTTATGCATTCTTTATCAATTGAATAGAAAATAGCATTCTGACATCAATGTACACGGTTCTGGGACCAGAGTTTTCTTTTAAAATGTTCATTGATTACCTACTGACAGAGCCAGTCAATAAAGGTTCCACTCTCGGTTATCAAACTCATAGATCCTACCTAGGATACCTGTAAAGCACGAGATTGTATGTCATAACACCAAAATATATATATATATATATATATATATATATATATATATATATAAGCTCAGCTTAAGCTTATGTTAGAGAGATATAACATAAAATTATTAATGTGACATTTACTTAACAACTTAACCTTTTGGGTTAAATTGGCCATTTACATTATATCAGAGCCTCTGTGACCAAATGATTACAAGTTTGAGATTTAACACAAGTAGGTAGTTTGTGAATTGTCCACCTTTCAAATACAATAGACTCTTGTGTGAGGGGACATAAGCAATGTG